TATGTCAATTACAACATTTAGAGAAAATTTGTGTTTGCAGTTACTAGGTGTCGACAATATTTCTGCAACTACAGACAATAATAGACTAGAAAAACATAAACTGAAGGCGACACAAAAACGGAAGCGGTGTAAAATATGTTACACTCGTTTAGCAGGACAACATAACAGAACATATGCAGCTGCTCACAGCAAACAAGTGATATACAGTGGTGAGTGCGATATCAGCCGGCTTTTTAACGTAAGAGATAGAAAACACAGTTAGTTACCTTGTGAAATAAAAGGAGATGAAACTCGTAGAGGTGGGAAATAATCGATAGAAACCTATAATTTACATTACATTACATTACGACTATCGATAGTCTCACACCTTTAGACGTTACCTTCGATCTAAATCACCTCGGTCATAATTATTATGTTTGACAGTTTGACGTCGTATGTGTGACGTATTTCCATTTTTTAATTTAGATAAAGTAAAAACTGATTGACCACAATAAAGCAAAAATGTGAATAAAATAATTTAATTAATAGTGATTATTTATTCTAAAGTTTTAAATTATTAACCAAGAATAATTTCTACTATGATTTTAGGAGTTTCATACACTCTTGTCACAGAAAATTAGCAATCTCTCGTGGATTAGTGGTAAGAATTCGACTCTGCGACGCAGATGATCAGAGTTTAAAACCTACATGAGGTTTTCTTTTTTCTTTTTTTATAATTTGAAATTTTGCAAAGATCGTTTTGCTTTGAATCACTAAATATTTATGTCAGTCGTTACTAGTATTTGAAGTGTTTTAAAGTTAAACATAAATATCTTATTGAAAAAATAGTGTCGTTGTACTTTCGAAACTAAAGTAAAATTCTTCAAAATTAAAAGAATGTTTAAATAAGTAAAAATTTTACAAAAATAAAAAAATATTGTAAATAAACGTATTTACAATATGTTCGAATAAACCTTCATTAGCAGCAGAATAATAACCCAAACTGTCACTAAAGAATTATAAAAGTCTGATAGATCAGGGCTGAAGGCACGATGTACTCATGCAGGCGGTTAGGGTTCAAATCCTACAAAAAGTTTTTACTTTTTTAAAAATTTGAAATTATGCAGATATTATATCGTTTTGCTTTAAATCATAAAACATTTATTTCAGTCTTTATTAGAAGTGTTTATAGTAAAACATGAAAATCTTATTGAAAAAATAATGTACTTTCTAAAATAAAGTAAAAATTCTTCAAACATAAAAGAACGTTCTAAATAAATTTACTTACAAAAAATGTTTAAATAAGCAGAAATTCTATAAAAATATTCTAAATAAAACGTATTTTTATTCTAATGAAATTATATTTACAAAAAATGTTCAAATAAGCCTCCATTAGCAGCAGAACAATAACCCAATCTATTATAAAAGTTTCGTCTAACATTAGTTAATGTTTCTGGACTAATACCTCTTCATTGAATCAAAGATCTTTTCTCTTAATTCTTGGAGAGAATTAGGCCTATCATCTTCAATTCCATATAGTTTGGACTTGATATATCCCCACATAAAAAAATCACAAGGTGCAAGATCAGATGATCTTGCAGGCCAAAAAATATCTCCGTGTCCACTAATCAATCGATTAGGAAAAGTCGCACTGAGATATTCACTGACGATGCGAGAATTATGTGCAGGACAACCATCGTGTTGAAACCATATGGAATCGAAAGGAATTGGTAAATTACGAAGGGCTGGGACAATTTGATTTTGCAGAAGTTCCAAGTATTTCCGCCAGTCAACATACCGTCTATAAAAAATGGACCAATGACATGATTCCCTATTATGCCTCCCCAAACATTTACTTTTTGAGGACGCTGGGTACGAGCAACATAAATCTGACGAGGATTTCCTCGGGACCAATACCGAGCATTCATTGAATTGTGACGGCCATGCAATGAAAACGTACATTCATCGGTGAACAAGACTTCTCTAAAAAATGTTCATCTTGATGTGACATTTCCATTGCAGTTTGACAAAATTCTAAACGTCTATATGATCCCCAGGGAATTGTTCGTTGGATTTATGAAGTTTATAGGGTCGGTATCCATGCCTTTTCAAAATTTTACCAACTCTAAATCTTGAAATTCCATATTGTTCTCCGAGACGAGATGTTGATTTGGGTAGGATTTTGTTCAATACTTGCACAAATCAAAGTGTCGCTTAGTTCCAAATCTGGATTTACCTCCCTTCGCCTACGAACTCCTCTTGGATGTGAACACGGATCCATAAGTAAAAAAATTACGTATAATAGATTGAATTGTTGATCGTGATGGAGCCGGCCTATTTGAAAACATATTTACAAATTGTTTGTCTAATCATGTTGTCTGAGAAATCCATTCACATGCCAGACAACAATTTGCACTTTTTCCTCGACCGTTAAAACCATTTTTACGAATTGTTTTTTTCAATAAAAAGTTTCTGTTTACCGTGCAAAAACACTTCTCGATATGTTATTATTTGATGGCTTAAAGGCTTTGCTTCGCGCGCATCCATTCCAATGTTGTCAATTGTTTTGAAAATCATTATCTGTACAGAGGAATTGATATTAACATTGAGAATTTAGTGATGGATTTGATATAAACAGTCCTTCACCGGATTATTTTGCATTCACAACTGAAGACTGTATGAATTGAATTTGAATCATTTTGTATTTCCGTTTTATAACATTGGAATAAAAATAAATTGTAAATAATGAGTTTTTCGAAAATTTGTTACCTAATATGTATCATATTTTCTATTCTAACGACTACACCAATTTCACATACATTAAGTGTTTCCAGACAAAACATCCACCTTTATTTTAGTCAAATATTTCAGTTTAGTTATTTTTACTATTAAGTAAATTTAAAGATTTATAATTTAAAATCGCTACTAATGAATGTTTTTTACTATAACATATCTTAATTTATTCAAGTATTTATTCTAACATCAGAAATTATTAAAATAAAATATTTTTGAGGGTATCCGTATAATTATGACTGAAGTCAAATAGCCACGTCCAACGTCTAAAGGTGTGAGACTGTCGATGGTGGTAATGCAATGTAATGTAAATTATAGGTTTCTATCGATTATTTCCCACCTCTACGAGTTTCATCTCCTTTTATTTCACAAGGTAACTGTGTTTTCTATCTCTTACGTTAAAATGCCGGGTGATATCGCACTCACCACTGTATACCTGTTCAGCATGTCCGGACAAACCACCTATTTGTATAGACTGCTTTTTCAATTCTCATGTGTGTAAACCAAAATAATTGATATATCTAATATTTTTTTATTTACAAGTTTTTATTTGATGTCAGTATCTACTGAAATGTTTTTTATAATCTTTTTTTTTTGTTTTTAGAATGTGTAAATTTGTTTTATTTTGAACTACTTTTACCTAATTTGTAATTTGTACACAATAAACTATCAGTACAAACATAGATACTTTACTTTAAAATTAATAATTTTTTACTGTAATAAAAACGTCCCAACAAAACTGTAAAAAAAATTAATAACAAAACCAATTTATCTGCCAATTTGATATGATGTAATGTAGCGCCGCACCAATACATATCCCATAAGATACCTACGTTAACTGTGCAGAAATCGCATACACACGGCCTACTATACAGCATGCCTCGTGAATAAAATCTATACACACGGCGCCCTGGACCCGACTACCGTGTATATCTTTTATACACAAAGTGCTAACGTGTTAACAACCAATCACAAAATCCAATCCTTTTAGGACAATCTTCAACCAATAACTCTTGAACTGTTGTTCAAGAACTGTTGCAGAAATCGCATACACACGGCCTACTATACAGCATGCCACGTGAATAAAATCTGTACACACGGCGCCCTGGACCCGACTACCGTGTATATCTTTTATACACAAAGCGCTAACGTGTTAACAACCAATCACAAAATCCAATCCTTTTAGGGCAATCTTCAACCAATAACTCTTGAACCGTTGTTAAGTGATAGGGTTTCAGCAGCTGATCCTTCAGACGTCTCCACACCCTTACGTGAGGAACAATTAGGTGAGCAGCTGTTACCTTTGTACTTGTTCTAGGGACTCTTTCAATGATTTCTAAAATGTCTTCATCAGTTGCATCCATTATTGGACCACCACTATTCCCAGCAACTTGCGGTTAGAATGTACCCATAAACGACGATCAATGGTCAGAAATAATCGTCTATCGGGTGTATTTCGATTGGGATATTTTACTGCACAACGCCTTGCGGCTGCTGCACTATTGTAATTATTGTATCCGTAGAAACTAATTGTAATTTTATGGCCAACTAGGAAAAAACTAGTTTTTCGAAAAAGTGATAGGAGGCAAAGAAGCTTTTAAGAGAATGTGTTAAACTAATGATGCCACAAAATTTATGTGATTTGAACGTACGCAAACATTTGGGGGGATTTAAGGCTGCGGACCCCCTTAAAATTTTTCTGTGCGCTTAGATTTTGTTCTTTCTTTTGTATAAAATATGCTTTCAGAAAAGAAAGTGACGTGTTAATTTTCATTACAAAGTGTCAAGTAGTTTAAGAGATAATACAAAAAAAACAATTTTTATTTTGTAAATTCAAAGGGCTGTAACTTTTTTTGTGTACACTTTTGTACTAAGGTAAGTTGGATTCAATCAATTTATTTTTGTCCCCGGATTGCGTGATTTAATTTATGACATACATTTTTGAAACACGCTGTATATGTCTATGGTTAGCCTATTTTTCGCCTAAGCCGACTGGACTATATGTATGATATTATATTTCTGAAACGCCATACATGAAATGTCCATTCAATTAGCAATAGTGTATAAATAAAAGATTAATTATCTAATAAATTAATTATAAAGTCAGTATAATATCTATTTCCGTGATATTTTATGCAGTTAGTTCTTGGTGTATTTTTAACAATACTATAAGCATATTTCAAAACGCTTTTTACTGATCAAATTATCTCTCTTAAGGGACTTGTAAAATGTATCAACCAATTTGTATAAGTTTAATAGTGATATGTTCTGTATATTCATTCGAAACTCATCCGTGCCCGAAATCGTTAAGTATCGACATTTCAAACGGTACAAAAAGTGGAACGAAGTATATTTTTCAAAATATGACGTTTGACAAAAACAAATATTTTGTGGAAAATGGTAACATTTGGGGATGCATTTGTCAAGTAAGGAACTGCATACGGCGTTGTTGTTCTGAAAATGATCAACTAAATTACCCAGAACTACAATGTGGGAAGAAAGATATGAATCCTTTATTTAAATTTCACAACAACTCAGAACTGTATTTAACATCTGATTTATCAGATTATTTTGTTGTAAGTGGACATCCTTGTATATCAAATGGTGAAATATTTTTACATGAAATGAAAGACTATTTTATACAAAAAAATGGATCCCTTTATTCTTCGACATTCAATAAATCTCATTCTGTACAAGCCTACTGCCTTGTAGATGGGTTAGGACTTGTATGTCTGAACAGTTCAGAACTTGGTATTCAATCAAATGATGAATCAGAATATCGTAAAAGCATGCGAGTTATACAGACAATTGGTAAGTCATACAAATGATATTTTTTTAATTAATTTTAGCATTTTTTCAGTGTATATACAGGGTTGGGCATAAGTCAGTTAACCAATTTGCATACCAAATAAAAAAAAACTAAACAGAAAACTAATTTATTGATTTGATTAATAATTAAAGTAATTATGGTTTTAAAGTTACTGTTTGTGTTCAAACTGCAGACCACCTTCCTCAATGCCACCGCTTTTGACACCGCTTTTATACGCTATTGCAGGTTTTATCAAAGAATTCTGGGTTGTTGCAGAGTGCATCGAATTCCTCTTGAATTCTTGTTTTCAAATGTTCAATATCACGTAATGGGATGGCGAACACTTTGTTTTTGAGTAGGTACTCCCCACAGAGCAAAATCGCATGGCGTTATGTCGGGTGCCTGTGCTGGCCAATCAATTCTTCCTCTTCTTCCAACCGCATTTCATACTCGGCATTCAGGTATTCGCAAACTGCAGGTCCGAAGTGCGGAGAAGCGCCGTCTTGTTGAAAATAGCAAATATCTGCAAACTCTGGGATATTTTCCAAAGTACCATTTAAATCAATAAGTAGTTCAAGATAATTTTCTACATTTACACTGCCCTCAAAAAAATACGGACCAACTAGACCACCGGCGTGAAGTTCAGCCCACACTGTTACTTCAGGAAGATTTAACTCATGAGCAATGGTTTCGTGAGGGTTTTCATCTGCCCAGTAAACACAATTGTGTCTGTTGATCCGTTCGTTTAGTTTGAACTGCGCCTCATCGCTCCAAAGAATTTGCTTATAAAATTGTGCGTCGTCATCTGCGCAACCAGTATACCACTCGCAATATTCCAATCTACGATGTGTCGTTTTCAGTTCCATATTTTCATCTGTCACTACCACAGAAGGGCGACCACTACGTGGTGCGTCTAATACCGATCCACTTTGTTGAAACTTCTTATGCAACTTGTAAACCACCTGCCTTGTAGGAACAGACCTATTTGGATACTTGGTAGTGAATTCGTTGAACACCGTCTGATAATCTACATGATAACGTAGGTACGAAGTCAACAGACAGACTCGTTCTTCTGTAGTGTACTTTACACAGGCTTGGGCTGCAATGGCGACGTGAACTCGATGACCGACAATCTTGAGACTTGAACTAACGACAAGCGCCACACCATACTCCTTCTGTCATCGCACCAATTCGGTACGGCAAGCACAGTTGCGGCATCCTCACTATTTTTGAACCACGTCAGATAGCGTTAACTGACTTATGCTCACCCCAGTATGTATATCTATCTCTATAAAAGGCTATGGTGATAGGTCACACTATAAGTCCAGTAAACTAACGGCGCCATCTAGGAAAGAAATATGAACTGTTATTTTTTTGATTTTATTTGAGTTGGTATGAGTAAAATTGAGTTTTTTTTCCTTTAAAGCTTTGATAGTTGAAGAATAGTTGTCTGACATAGTGACCTGTATTTTAACTTAGTTGCTGTTTAAGCTTTTTACAATGTAGTCTTTGGATGCTGTTTGATTAATGAGTTCATTCTTCTTCTTATGATGCCCTATCCAATTAGTGGATGTTGGTGACAATTCTGGCATACTCTTCTCGATCTTGTGTGGCTCTAAAGAGTGCATGGGCATCGAGGTTTGTCCAATCCCTTATGTTTTTAAGCCATGAGTATTTCTTTCTTTCGATGCCCCGTTTCCTTCTATCTTCCCTTTTATAATAAGCTTTAAGAACTGGTACTTGGAATTTTGAAATATATGACCCAGATAAGCAGTTTTTCTTCTAGGTAAAGAAATAATAAATAAGACTTACTCACAATCAATTTAATTTAACTATCAGACGACCGGTTTCGCTTTCTACATTATGCAAAGCATCCTTAGGTCTCGATACAAAGTTAAACAAATGATGCCGGTACTCTATTAATTGATGGATGGTAGAACATGGTTGAAACTACTATGTATTATTGAATGGAGAACTCAATTCTGTTATTGCAGTTGTTTGACAGTAAACGGGAAGTTCTTGAGGAGATAGATTTGATCCAATGAAGAAGAGATATGTGTGTGATTGTTTGTTAAATGAAACAATCTATTCTATTTCTATTGTTAAGATCGTCCTCGATGTCGCCTTTGTTGTTGATTACTGTTACTAAGTATTTGTATGAATTTGTCTGTATTATTTATTGTTGGTCTATCATTATTTCTAATTGATCTTCCGTCCCTTGTTTCCTTAATATTTTCATTCTCTAAGTCTTCTCTTTGTTTACGTTTTACGTTGTATTTGCTTGCTTCTAGGTTCCATTTCTCTAAGTTGTATTTAAGTTTTTCTGCTGTTTCCGCAAATAATACTACGTCGTCTGCAGGGCCTCTGCTAGAGGCTTTCAACGACGCTAGAAGTACATTTTTACTTCGACATGCATCTACGATTCACCTTTGAAAATTACCATCTTTTTTCACACTATATATATATATATATATATATATATATATATATATATATATATATATATATATATATTATATGTACTTAATGTATTGACAAATTTTTGTTTTTAATATGAATAAAAGTTTCTTTCACTAAACTTTGTGATTACTCTTTAATTCTTAGGTTTAAAATTTATTATCCACGTAAATTCATTTAAAAAATGAAGCTGGTCTTATTAAGTTACCAGTTCCAAATAAGGCCAAATATTCAAGATTTATTCAATGCTAAAATTTTATATTTCTTTATTAAGTATTTTATCCTGAAATTCGATAGCTAAAATGTTAGACAATAGTATACAAGACTTTTCCCCCCATACTTTTGCTGAATAAAATGTTACAGACATTTAAACCTTAACGTATCCTTAATTGGCGTTCTTACCTTAATTAAATTTTATAATTTAAAATTCGAGATGACAAGAAATGAAGAAATAATTAAAAATTAACGAGGGAATTTCGAACTTGTTTATTTTTTTTGTCTCTTAAATTACGAACTGCCACTGAGTTCTTATTCTTAAAAATTAATAAAACATTTATTCATACCGTTTTTACTTATCATTATGGTTAAGTTTGGGTTATAGTATTTGCGATAAAGTTAATATAACGCGATTACTGCAGTATGAATTTTACCTTACTGAAGAAAGTATCACAATGGATATACATATATTTTTAAGTTTATTGATAATTTGTTCGGTATGTTGGGGTGCACGTGCATATGATCCATGTTCCATAATGTTTGAGATAGACATATCCACTACAACTTTTGGAACATGTAATCCTTTGGACGATTATAGAATTAGAAGGTGTATTTGTAAAGTAAGAAAATGTATAAGGAGGTGTTGCTATGATGATAAATCACGCAATATTCCTGATTTATGCTTTGAGGAAGATCTGAAACCTTCATTTAGGTTCTACAATAACACAGATTTGTATTCAACTTCTGACCTATCGGAATATTATATTACAAGTGGAAATCCTAACTGTGAACCTGAGGCGGATACCTATCAAGTAGCGTATGAGGATTACTATATGCAAGAAGATGGCGAGATATTTTATACCACTGCAAATAAAAGTTATGGGATAAAGTCCTATTGCCTTTTGAGTAATATAGCATTTATATGTCAGATATCTGGTGATAGAGAACCAGAAGAAATATTATATATTCGACGTGTACAAGTAATTGGTAAGTGTACTATAATTTTGGATTGTATTTAACGATCTTTATTTTGTATCGAATGTTTAGAAAGACTTTGTTTAAAGCATCAGATATTTATCTGAAGCTATTTTCTTGTAGCATTTTAAAGCTATTACTATTTTAATGGGAATAAGCCACAATTGAAGGTTAAAATAAGTTTATTGACGTTTCAATTTCTATTTCGGAAATCGTTCTCAAAATACAAACATTAATAAATTAATAACCATAACGTTAATCTTTGTATTTTGAGAACGATTTCTGAAGTGGAAATTGAATCGTCAATAAACTTATTTCAAACTTCAATTGTGGATTCTTCTTCAAGTTACGCTCCTATCAGAGATTGGAAATCATTCTGGCATTTATAATTTTGTTGATTACGTGCCTGAATAGTTCAATTAAACTGCATCCAAACCATTCACGCAGATTGCGTAGCCACGAGATTTGACGTCTTTCTACGCTTCTTCTACCTTTGATTTTGCCCTGCATTATATTCCTTAGTAGTTCGTATTTTTCGCCTTTCATGACGTGCCCCAAGTATTCCAATTTCCTGATTTTTATGGAATTTAAAACTTCGCATTGTTTTCCTAGTTGTTCGAGAACTTGTTCGTTTGTTTTGCGATCCATCAATGATATTTTTAAAATACGTCGGTAAACCCACATTTCGAATGCTTCTAGGTTTTTAATGTTGGATTTTTTAAGTGTCCAAGCTTCAACCCCATACAAAAGGGTAGAGAAAATATAACATCGAAGCATTCTTATCCGGAGCGATCTATTGATATCGCGATTACAAAAAAGTTTTCTCATTCTATTAAAAGTTGACCGTGCAATTTCAATGTGTCATCTTATTTCTTTTGTCTGTATCTTCTGTGATCTACGCTCCCAGGTATTTGGACGATGAAATTTGTTCAATTTCTGTATTATCTAGTACTAGCTTAACTTTGATGTTTTGTGCTTTTGTAAATACCATTAACTTGATAAAAAAAAAATAATAAAAAAAAAACATGCACAACATAAACATACCCTCAACATCCCAGAAGACGTCTCTTTGTTACATAATATCCCGCAAAAAACTTTTCTAAAATTAGATCTATATGAAGACTTGGAAATAGTTAAAGAAAAGCAAAGTAGTCCCAATTGCGTCAATCGTCATGTATCGTTCAACCGGGACTTTCAACCCTTACATCGACAACTGTTCTCATAGTCCACGCTTCACAATATTGCCTTACTTTCTTTGCCCGTCTATCCTATACAAACTTCAACACCTTTAATCCTATACAATATTTGTGTTTCTTTAAACAATCTTCCTCTACAATATTGCCACACCTTCACCTCAAAAAAATTTTCGACCCCATTGTTAACTTCAGAACCATCCATATCTATCATAACAAAATATTTCAACAATTTTCTCCACTCTTCACATCTACATCACATTCCTATCCATTCTTTTCTCTTTCATTATTTCTTGGTCAACTCATTTATCAAACATGTACTCAATATTTTTAACTATTTATTCTCTCAAATATTATCTAATATTTTATCAAAATTCATATTATTTGTGCTTCTTCAAACAACCAGTCTCTAAACTTTTTCCACTCCTTCCCTTCATCACTTTTCGACCCTAGTGTTAACTTTATAACCACCCACATCTATCATACCATAATATTTTATCATTTTCTTTACTCTTCACATCTACATCACATTCCTGTCCTTTCTTTTCTTTCATTATTTCTTGGTCAATTCATATATCTAACATGCACTCAATAGTTTTTAAAGTCAGTAATCATTCAAATATCATCTAACTGTTTTTCAAAATTCATATAATTTTCCCCTAATAAAAAATAAATAAAAAAAAATCCTTATCCAACATTGCTCACCTTCTTTTGATCAACAACTAAGTAGCACATTCATATTTCAAATTTTAGATTTTTACAAACCGAATTTATTACTACTAAAATACATTTTGTTCAGGGTGCTAGATGCTTCAAGCATAAAGGACCGCTTTGTTGATTAACTCCTTTTCCTCCTTTAACCATCCCCTCCTTCTTCAGTCATTTTCTCTACTATTTCTCATCAAGTCTCTGAGGAGCTCAGCCTCTTCAATTTTAAATTAATCACATAGGTTATAACTCTGATTTCTTTAGCCTGTAGATTTTCAATTTACCAAACTTGTTTTCATTAATTTCTCACCATACTAACAGTCATAAATAGTCATTTAAATACAAGGTTTTATATTAGCTTCAAATATTTACTATTAAAAATTTTTACCTGTCCTAGATGTGATAAACATAAAAGGATAATTTTCATATATATAAGCTAATCTAACATAAAATACACTTTTAGACCATATTCCATACGACAAAAAGCAACATAGGTTGCCTAATACACAGGTCATCCTCTCAAACATGACTTTAACACCATTGGTGATTTCACATCGATTATAACCCAAATTTTAAATCCCAACACCTATATTGCTGTTATTATTTTTAAAATCATCAAAAATAATTTTTGAATCTTTTGGCTGTAGTAATACTAGGTATAACTAATATAGTTCTATGTTACATTGACATTTTTGTTTTTGACACCTTTCATAGGTATATTGTAAATCAGTTTCCAGCTGTTCTCCGTGCGTAGAGGTTCTCTCCCCGGCTCTGGAACTCAAAACTTTTTGCAATGTATGTTACCTGAAGTCATATTTAATTTAATAATGAACATCACAGTTTTTTAACAACAAGATGTATAATCTTTGATAACTATAAGTAATTTAAAGGGTTTTTACCCATGTATTTTTGGTGGCTCAGGCATTTTAACCTAGTAAGTATAGCCATTTTGCTTTTTTAACCATAGTCAAAATTTCATAATCACGTTTGTTTTAACTAAATGGTTTGTACTTATTTTAGGCAGATTTTAAATGATGATGAACTGTTTAGTCCGAAAACGTTTGTTTTTTTTGATGTAGCCCTTTTAAGGGTTTTTAAATAAATATACCCACTTACAAAGACTAACCTCTTTTTTTGTGATACGTGGTATACAGCCAGCTACAGGAATTGTTTTCCTTGTGGATTTCAATAACTTGATAGATAGATGGTTTATTGGTAATAAATTAATACAAAAGTATTTTTTACAAGTCAAAGAAAATAAAATATATGTCAATATAGTTAATATTACACATAAATATAAACACAAAACATAGATACATTGTTTTAAACTATACTGTTGACAATTACAACAAATTAAAATCGGAAGTAAAATACTCCTCATAATATGTAAAAAAAAAAGCATTCACTATAAGGTAACTCGTAATTTTTGCCTTAAACTGATGAAAATTAAGAGCTTTTATTCTAGCTGGCACTAAGTTATAGAATTTTATGGCTAAATACCTTGAACCATTTCTGGATCTCTCAAGACGGCTAAATTGTGGTATAAGATTATTGTTAAATCTGGTGGGATAATTGTGAAAATCCACATGCGCATTGTATTGGCTAAGATTTTGTTTAATGTGCAACAGACACTGCATAATGTATACACAAGGTAAAGTCAAAATTTTTACAGCTCTAAAGGAGTTTCTACAGTCTACTCTATTAGAGAGCCCAGAGATAATACGAACACGCTTTCTTTGTTGTGCAAACACTTTATCAATATGACAAGAGTGACTCCAGGAGAGAATAGCATATGTCAAGTGAGAATGAAAATTACTATGATAAGCTGTTAAAATAGTTTCCCTGGAAGTCACTTGTACAAGGTTCCTGAAGAGGAAAAGTTGTCGGGAAAGCTTTTTCGATAGATTAACTATATGTTGTTTCCACGTTAATCCTGCATCCAAATATATCACCAGAAACTTCGCTCCGGTTACACATTGTGGTAGAGCAACGTTTTCAACACAAGTGTTATTTCTTAGAGTAAAATTAACACTTTGTGATTTAGAGTTGTTAGGTTAGTTAAAAACCAATTGAATAAGTTTTTTTCAGATGTTTGGTAATCAATGGTGTCGAATTCAGAAGGATGATAGCTTGCATAGAAAGTAGTGTCATTCGCAAATAAAACAGTGTTGACTGTTTCATTTTGAGAGTACACTAGATCATTAATATAGATAAGAAATAATACTGTACCCAAAACCGAGCCTTGAGGGACACCAAACAACAGACATTGTTTTTGAGAATCACATTGGTTGAAGTGAACATATTGATCACGATTTGATAGATATAAATCAATTAGTTGAATAACATCACTATGAAAATTATAATCAGGAAGTTTTCTAAGCAGAATACTATGTGTGACACAACCGAAAGCCTTAGTAAGATCTAAAAACGATGCAAGAGTATCATGATATTTCTCAAACCCTTCCAAAACATTGCTAGTGAAATTATCAATAGCTAAAGTTATTGTTTTATTTTTTCGGAATCTGTACTGGTTTATGGCAAACAGTTTATTAGATACAAAATGAAGATTAATTTGATTTTTTAAAATCCGTACATACACTTTTGATAAGATGGGCAACAAAGAAATGGGTCGATAATTGTTATAATCATCAATAGAGCCTTTATTCTTAAACAGAGGTACTACCTTTGCAGTTTTTAAAACTTGAGGATAAGTATTACAAAAAATTGATTGATTTATTAAAGTTGTTAGAGGTTGAACAATTATATCTTTAATTGTTTTAATAATTTTTGTGTTAAAGCCATCAGGATATTTGCTGTTACTATTTTTTATTTCTGTAATAGCTAAGTCAACTTCACTAAAGTTCACTAGCTGAAAACTAAAACACGGAATATTTTTCTGTGGTATATACTTTAAATAGTCATCAAGAGTTAGCTGAGGAACCTCAAGCTCGTTTATTACTCTCTCAGCAGTTGAGCAGAAGTGGCTATTAAAACTATCTGCATTGAGTTTAGAATTATCAGTGAAGAAAATATTTTTATGTTTTTTACCATTAATAAGTTTCCACATAGCTTGTTGAGAGTTGCCAGAATTTTTGATAAACTTATCATTTGCATTAATTCTTGCAAGCTTGATGGCTTCTCTGTACTCTTTTCTAAGTTTGAGAATGGTATTTCTAGGTGTAGCAATGGAATCGTTTCTATTTATTGCTATAATAAATTGAAGTCTCTCACGCATTTTTCTCAAAGTTTTATTGAACCAGTTTACTTTTTTACCTGCATTATTTTTATTCAGCAATTTAGATTTTTCTGGAAAAGAGATATTTATGGAATTTAATAACACATCAATTAGCATTTTAAATTTTAAATTAATATCCAAATTATCATTGTATACAAAATTAAAGTTGCAATTTAGCAAAATCTGGTTAAGATTGAAGAGTTCTTCATCTGTGATAGGTCTATAACAAACTCTGGTTGCACAATTTGTGGATGAGTAAGCTATCTGAAAGGAAATACCTCTGTGGTCAGATGTGTGAGTGAGATCCACACGATTTTTGGTACCATCATTATTTGCGAAAACATTATCAAGACATCTATTACCTCGAGTATTAAATTTAACTTTTTTTTGTAATATTGTAAGATCTAAAAAAATTACAAAGTTTTAAAGCTCTGATGTCTGTTTCATTAAAATGGACATTAAAGTCACCCCTAATTATAACAGGTTTATGAACATTAATTTTTTTAAGAGCTTTAGCCATAATGGTAAAGAATTTGTCTAAATCACCATCTGGAGTACGATATACAGTAATAAGCTGCACATTAGATTTATTTAATAAAATACCTGTAATCTCACAATGCTGTTCAGAAGAGAGATTTTCAATATTCAAATGATTAAAATTTACGTGATTCCTAGTATATATACCTACACCTCCATGAGACTTGACCGTCCTGCAAAATTACCGACTTGGTTTTCTTCAGATTTATTTTTAGTCTATAATCGTCGCAATATATATTTAGTTGTTCAGGGTGTCGCAGTTCTTCTAGTGTTCCTGCCAGAAGGACGGTGTCGTCAGCATATCTTATGTTATTAAGTGGCTCACCGTTTATTATAAGGCCCTCACTGATATTGGCAAGCGCTAATTTTGAGATGGCTTTACTGTATAAATTGAATAACAAGGAAATACACCCTTGGCGTACAAAACGGCAAATCTGGATATCCTCGGTCAGTTTATTTTCAACTTTCACTTTTGCTGTTTGGTTCCAATAGAGATTACATATGATTCTAATATCTCTACTGTCTATATTTTTATTTAATAAAATTTATTGAAGCCGATTGTGCTGCACTCTGTTAAATGCTTTTTCAAAATCAATGAAACAGGCATACATTTCCTGATTTATATCTAAGCATCTCTGCAAAAGAACACTTTCTGCAAACAGTGCATCTCGTGTTCCCAGTCCTTTCCTAAATCCATTTGTGTATTACTTATGCCTTCATCTAATTTCTTATGTATTCTGTTGTGAATTACTTTTAAAAACAATTTCAAGATATGACTCATTAAGGCTATGGTGCGATGTTCATTGCACTCCTTTGCATTTGCTTTTATGGGAAGCAGTATGAATGTTGATTGGAGCCATTCTTTAGGTATTATACCTGTTCTATATATGGTATTGAGTAGATTCAAAAAAAGATCAATATATTCAGTATTCACAATTTTGAGTAATTTGATAGGAACTTCATTTCGCCCGGGAGATTTACCACTTTTAGCTTGTTTCATTGCATACTCAATTTCTTCTCGTATAATGTCAGGCCCAGTATCATCCTTAAATTCTTTTGGTGCTTCTGTTCTCTCTTTGTCTTCAAAAAGTTTTGCCGTGTATTGTGTCCATCTCTGCATTTTTTGGTTTATATCTGTTATAAGTGCACCACTTTCATCTCTTATTTGCCTAGTTTGAAGTGTTTTTCTCATTCCTGTTAATTCTCTAATTCTTTTATGCATGTTAAAAAAGCCATATTTTATCTCAATTTCTTCTAGTTCTTGGCACTACTCATGTAACATTCTCTCTTTAGTTTCTTTTAGTTTCTTTTTAATTAATCGATCAGTTTCATTATATTTGATTGAATTTTTTGTTTTAAATGATTTTCTTTCATTCATTAATAGTAGTATTTCTTCATATTGTTCTGAAGCTATTTTCTTGTAGCATTTTAAATTAATTACTATTTAACTGAGAATAAGCCACAATTAAAGATAAAAATACGTTTATTGACGTTTCAATTTCCACTTCGGAAATCGTTCTCAAAATACAAACAGTAAATTAAACAAATTTTGTTTTTTGTTACATAGTGAAAAATTCTTCTAATAATTTAATTTTATCTGACTCATTTATATTGACAATTCAGACATACATTATGCATTTTACATTTTACATTATACCTTGTGAATGCGATCAGTTTTATTTAGGTGAAACATTAAGGTCATTAAATGTTAGAATAAGTGAACATCAATCTTATATTAAAAATAGAGAATTTGATAGATCTCAAATATGTAAACACGCATGGGATAATGAACATAGGGTTCAATGGAATAATTCAAATGTAGTCCTAAAAGAAACGGATGGTAAAAATGAAAAATCAAAGAAGCGGTTCTAATTATGCTAAATGAGGCCAATTGTGTCGCAAATTCCTCGGCAGAATGTAGTAGGATCTGGTTACCAATAATGAAAGAGGAAGTTATTAATAAGAAAATACCAGTATTAGTAAGTCAGTAACATATAGAGGATACATCATTATTTTATGTTTTTTAAATAAAGAAACATATAAAATCAGAATTTTGGTGTTTATTGAAGGTAAACTAAATGCACGAACAAATACTTACCATGTCGGGATAGTATTATGAGGTTTTTCTCCTGGTTTTTCCCTCATAATTTACTATGGAATCACTAACAGGAGAATTTTACTGTCATCATGTCATGTGTCTTTTTAAAGACGAATTACATGCTATGATTTTTTCTGACGGATATTCTCAAGTTAAAGTTGATTTCATGTAATCGAATAAACTATCTTATAAGTAAAGTCGTCCCAGAGGCGCAACTCAACAATATTGGCAATATAATTTTAAAGTCGTCTACTTAAAAATGCATAATGTATGTCTGAATTGTCAATATAAATGAGTCCGATAAAATTAAATTATTAGAAGAATTTTTCACTATGTAACAAAAAACAAAATTTGTTTAATTTACTGTTTGTATTTTGAGAACGATTTCCGAAGTGGAAATTGAAACGTCAATAAACGTATTTTTATCTTTAATTGTGGTTTATTCCCAGGTAAATAGTAATTAGTATTTCTTCGGTCATCCAATATTTATGTTTTCTTTTCTTTGGTTTTAAGTTTTCATTTGCTCTTTTAATTATTACTAATTTTATATTTTCCCATTTCTGATCAATATTATAGCTACTTTTATTCAGCTCTTGGGCATTACGTAGATTTTCAGTAAGAGTTTTTACAGTTTGTTCCTTTGTTTGTGGTTCCCTTAATCTCTTAATATTAATTCTACTTTGTGTGGGTTTTTTAAATAGTTAAATTTAAAAGAAAAAACAGGAAAACGTAAAGAAAATTCAAGAAAAAGTTAAATACCTAAAAATCTCAGAAAGGACAAAATACAAATAAGACTGGAAAACAAGTACAAACTAAGAAACCTCATTACAAGAGAAAGGTGTTTGATTCTAGTTCTTCGGAATTGGATGGCGATATACCATGTGATGACAGCGACGAAGCAGACGAAGATAGATGCCTGGTTTGCAGCGACTTTGGCAGAAACAATGAAATATGGTGTACCCTTTGCTCAAGATGCGCCCATTTCGAGTGTAGTGGATGGGATTCTGCAGAGGGTTATGTTTTTGTTATTTTTTTTGTTTTGTAATAAAAAATATTTTTTTATCTTTCTTACTGATTTGCTTGAATTATTACCCATTAAGGCTCATTCGTTAATCGTTTTATAACAAAAAATTGTTAAATAGATATTAATTTTTATTTTAATAATAATACAAACAAATTGACTGACATTACCCACACTCATGACCGTTTATTGTTCATATATATGGTGACAATACCCGTCAAAGATACTTTTTTATTTTTTATCTCTGTCAAAGACAAACATTTTTGATTTTTTAAATTGAATGTGATTTGCAATAAGTTGAAACCCCAAATGATCGGATGACGCCTTAAATTTGATTTACACAGTTTTACTTTTTTTATATTAAATTTTATTCTTAGGTGACCGCGATTTGCACACTTTACCCTACCAATTTGCATCGAATATTATACACATTTTAATGGCTTCGAATTTTATGATTTAAATACAAGTGTTAATTGTAACAAGATTTGTAATAGTTAAAAATATATTTCTAACATAATATTCACACTACATAAACCGAACAATGATTTGTTCCAGAGCATACCCACTATGAAAACAAATAACTGAAGTTTCTTGTTTTATCAACAACATTTACGTAAAGAATTTTCAGGTTAAAATTAGAAACTTCTATAGGTTAGGATCGTGTTTTATTCTCAAATATTCTAAAAATTCATACACTATACACTATTAAATTCTTGTTCATAAGCATCACTTGTGTTAATCAAGATGTTGAAATCTATATTTTTTGCCTATTCTTTTGTAATAAATGTTTACTCAAATAATCTAATTTCAAAGCTTAGTGAAAATGTCGAACTTAGTGATAAAGTGCATAAATCTTTGGATGATTCTTATAATTTTTCCACTAATATTCGGAAATGCAGTTCGGAAAAATGTGTGAGTAACATGTGCTGTCATCAGAATCAAAATGTACTGTGTGAACATAGTACTAGCGATGATCATAAAGTGCTTTCCTTGCCTAATTACTGCAAGGAAGTAATACATATAGCATCTAGTGATAGTGTCGAGAGATTTCAAAACCAGTTGTATATAAAACAAAAAAAAATGTATTTAAATATGAACGAACTCTGTGTTTTGACGGGAACTGATAAATGTTTGTCGTTGTGTGTCCGAAAATCGAATGTAAAACGTTTTAGCAATAATGGCACCGGTTTTAAAAATAGTGAATTACAAAATCAACTGAATTCAAATATTAAATACAGAAAATGTTGTAAAGATGGTGAAGTAATTTTGAAAAAACCGTGTTTCTACATGGGCCAAAATATTACCAAACTTTTTAATTCTAAATTACAAAAACTTTCTAGAAATGATAAATATTATCACGAAGATCTTAAATGCGGATCAAACTTTGCGAAAGCAAGGGTTGAGGATTTTAAATTTACTCCCAATGGTTCAATTTTCTGGGAGTCAGGTGATTATTATATCGATCAAAATTTGTTTTGTGTCGAATTGTATACTGTGGACAAGACCAATTATTTCCTGCATGCATTGGCCTGCGTTTCTGAAAACGAGATCACAAACAGCTACCAGATGCCAGTATGGGGTATGTTGTTTCGTTAATCTAACGTCCGGTTGATCTTCATACAAATCCATTATCATAACTTCATTTGCATTAAAAATAATATAATACAGCAGTAACGACAATTTAGTTTTTTTTTATTTAAAACACCTACTGTGTTTGTATCATTGGAATCTGGTCAAAGCTGACCAATTATCAATTTTTATCTGTCTTAATTTATTAAAAGATGCATTCTAAGAGCTTACCCTATGGCGTCCTGTTATTTTATCTAACAACTATGCACTAATACCTAACATGCAAATTCACAACACAGCACTATGTTTACTTTAACGCTAATTACACTTTACACTAACTCATATGGTTTTGTTCGTTTGAGTATTCTTTCTAACCCAGTATTATCGACGAGCTGGATAGCCGCGATGTTTACGTGTTTATGAAGCTGTTATTCGTGACTACCTATCATCTTCTTGATAATTTTATTTACCTCTTCCATCTCAAGGTCCTTGTGGAGGTCGACATTCCTGATGTACCAAGAAGCATCAACGATGTTCCTTAGTACTTAATTCTGAAATCTCTGGATATTGCTTTTATTAGCACAGCCCCAGAGTTGGCAACCATACATCCATACTGGTCTCAGTATTTGCTTGTATACCAGTTGTTTATTATGTGTGGACAAAACTGAAGTTCCATCCTTTTCCTTTTGATATGTGCTTTCCATCGAAGCTTTGCATCAAGTGTGATACTTAAGTATTTTGCAGTAGATACGTGCGGTATTTTAGCATCTTTTATTCTAATTGGAATGCTTTGGATTTTTTTGTTTGTAAAATTAACGTGAATTGATTTAGACTCGTTTAGTTTGATTTTCCATTTTTTTGTCCAGTTATGGATTTTATCTATTGACAACTGTAATTTTTCTGCTGCTTCTTTACTGGTATCACCTACTGTTAGAATGACAGTATCATCTGCAAAGGTGGCTATAGCATCATTTTCCAGTTCGGGTATGTCGCATGTGTATAACAGGTAGAGGAGCGGACCTACTATACTTCCTTGAGAAACTCCTGCTTTAATTTCTTTTAAATATGTGTAAACGTCTTCTTGTTTGATACTGAATCAGATATGTATGACTAGAATTTCTGAAAATTGTTAGTTTATACAGTAAACCTTCATGCCATACTTTATCGAATGCCTTTCTTTTTCCCCTAACGATTTCTCAATTATGTTTGTTATTCTATGTTCTTGATCAATAGTAGAGTGTTTATTTCTGAATCCAAATCGGTGGTTTGGAATCAGTTTTATCTCTTCTATTATCGGTTTCATTCTTTTTAGCAAGAGTTTCTCGAACAGCTTTGACAGCACTGGTAAAAGTCATATTGGCCTATAAGAAGAGACTTCCGTTGGTGATTTCCCTGGTTTTGGTATCATTATTACCTCAGCTATTTTCCATTTTCCTATTTTCTATTATTTTATTAGCTACTTCTTTTGGGGATGTTGGTCTAATTGTCTCTTTTATCTGATTAGGCACTATCTATCATTAATTTGGTCTTCATGTGGTTTGAATGTATTTTATAAATATTTGACAAATCTCTCTATTTTTTGCTTATTGCTCCTGGCCCAACTACCATTTTCCAATTTAATGAGTAGAGAATGTATTATTGGTCTTTTAAGCCTTTTCGTTGCTTTTCGTAGGGAGTATTCAGTGCTGCTATCATCCGTCAATTCTCAGGTAAGAACACATTCATTCATTTTTTATATTTTGGATCTTTCTTTTAAGCTTTTGAGTTGCATTGTTCAAATTCGTTTTATCTTGAAGAGATCCGGTTTGTTGCCACCTCTTTCTTAGTTTTCTTTTCTATTTAATTGACAATTTAGTACAGAAATATTTCTAAATTAAACAAGAAACTTTTCTTAAATGAAGAATTTTTCTGGGGTACATTAAATGAATAATTGAAGTCCGAAATTAGCTTTGTCTTCAGTTATATTTTTTTTTGAAATTTTTATTTGTCTGACCTATATACACGTTTGGATATATACTATAAAACTATTTAATATAATTTTTGAATTATATATTGGATATATACTATAAAATTATTTAACATTATTTTCGAATTATATATTGGATATATACTATAAAATTATTTAACATAATGTTCGTTATTATTCAGTTAAAATTTTATTTGGTTTATAATTTTTAATTCTTTAGAATTATTTTTATTTAAGTAGAAGTTTTTTAACCCGTTCAGGACGGCACCTATTTGCCCTTGCAATTTACAATTTCAGTTTACTTATAATTATATAAACGTAAAAAAAATAAAAATAGCATAAACATACGTGTTGATTGATCTGTCTAATATTGACAGGTTTATGTTTATTGTTTTTTTTTTGCAAATTAATATTTTATTTTTACAATTTCTAATCTAATTTCTATATTTTTTTCTTCTTCTTAACGTGCCCCATCCCTAAGGACATTGTAACGACTATTTTGCTTACCTCAGGGTAAGAACATAGGGGAGAAGATTGGGCAAACAAAATAATCGGAACTAGTGCGTACGGCACTCAGTTGGTTGTTGGAGAGCTGGGTCATGGATAAGTTGAAGATATAGGGGTTGGATTGGGGCAACTACAAAAAAGGAAATAAAGGGGTACTTAATCTCTTGGGATAAACAAAATAAAAATAAACAGGAAACACCTCAAGGAATTTAATATAGGTCGCCACTTCAGGTGCCTAATTATACCTATTACAACCACTAGTTGTAACTAGGGAAATAATTATAAAACATCAAAAATATATCTTTTTCAAATAAAACTCAAAATAGATCAGAGAAACAAATTAAACGTTTATTTTTGTCTCAAACAAACAGTTATCAAAAATACAGATTTTACAAGAACATATTATACAACATAATCCAAATTAATAAAAACTTACATGTTCTTTGTTTACATAAAAGATTGCTACAAAAATTTTGAAATGGTTCCTAGGTTATATATGGCCAATTTAGATTATCAAAATTTTATGGATATCCTTTTATTGAAAATATTATTGAATTTAACCTCTACGACAAAAATAATATAAAACTTTAATTATTACAAATTCTCTTATTTTAATGAAAGAAATTATTAAAAATGTCTTTATAACTTGGAAAAAATTAATATATTAAAAGTTACCTCATTTCTCACATGTTTCACTTAACTTTGAAAAGAAAAAACTTGCTACATCTCTGGGAAGCTACTTGGACAGATTTTCAAAATGGAAAACAGGAAACCATTTCCGTACTCAGGCAGGAACGATCTAAACAGGATCTTGGTGGAGAAATCAAGCTAACGACGGGGACATTCCATACCATACTTCTCAAAAATTGTCAGTTTCCATTCAAATCTAATGACCACTCTGACAAAGCTGCTTATCCAAAGTAAAGAGTATTATCACTGTAACTGGTCTTAAGACATTACTAAAAAATTGAATCGACTCTTCGATTCACAATTGCCCAACATTATATATATCCGCAAAAGCGTCTACCACCGTTTCAAATCTGTTCTTCCACTTACATTGTAACACGTCTGCCCTGTCTGAAATATATTCGTCTACACCCATCTGCGTTAAATTTTACAAATTCGACGCCAAATAAAATTTCCCCTTTGCGTCTACAAAGCCTAAACAAACAAATATCCCGTTGTTATTCGTTCCTAACGATGAAAAACAAATAAAACCTATATTACGGGTCATCATGAAATATAATCCTCTAGGCGACAAAAAACTTGTTGAAATAGTTATAACATAATACAAATTAAAAATAGCACGTAGTTTATTGATGACCCCAAAAACCAGTGTCTTTGCCTGACTTTGTAACACAGAGATAAAAACATATGTATTGTTGCCTTATCTCGTCAAAAAAACTTGAAATGCATACATTTAACTTCGTCGAAATATTAAAAAAAAAACTAAAGAAAGCACGTATCCTTGTCTTACTTCAAGATTTATAGGTATTTCTTTTGATTTGGTCTATTCGTATTATAACTTTCTGATATCGGTATAGATTGGCAATGATTTTTACGTCTTCGTCATATAATTTTGGGTTCTGTAGTATTTTTGCCCTTCTTCGATGTTGTACTTTGTCGAAAGCTGTTTCGAAGTCGACTAGATACACGAATAAAATTCAGCGGCTTGCTGATTACTTCGTACACGCCTTATTGTTTTTTAATGCTGATCATTTTTAGAAAGGGTGGCAGCTGTAACTTTAAGCTGAACAGATGCAGTGGATATTATATGATTTGGCCCATCTTGAGTTTGTGTAGCGTTTTCACGTACTCTATTGAAAATATTTGTTTTTCCACTTGCCTTGCATTTGCTATATGGTTGTGTGTCCCACTTCTTTTTACTACTGCATCTTCTGAGGTTATAACACGAGCTTTACACTTAAATGTCTTGTAATCACACTTCCAATAAATGTTTTGCTTTTTTTTATCTTTCAGGTAAAGATAACCGTCGATCAATAATTTACTCTTACACTTTTCACCAAGTACACACTCCAAAGCCATTTTGCGTCGTGACCCTAGCTCATAGTTTTGACAATAACGCTATAGAAAACTTTCGTTCAAGTATTTATATAAAATTTAGTTGTTTTGGTTAGTATTAGGACTAAAATTAAAAAAAAAATAAAAAAAAATTAAAAAAATTAAAAAAAATTAAAAGAAGAACACAATTGTCATGGGCTGTTTTTGGTAAGTTGAACTTCATTTTAAAAGACAGAAAAATCCCAATTCACTTAAAACAAAAAACCTATGACACTTGTATACTACCAGTTGGAACTTATGGATTGGAAACTATGGCAATAACAAGAAAAATGGCAGAACAATTAAGAGTAACTCAACGGGCCATGGAGAGAGCCATGTTAAATATAAGCCTCAGAGACAAAATTCCTAACACCGAAATACGTCGAAGAACTAAAGTAACCGACATCATGGGAAAAATAGCGACATTGAGATGGCAATGGGTAGCACATGTAGCAAGATCAGACACCAACAGATGGTCTCATAAAGTGACATT